ACGGCAGCCCCATCTTTTGAGACCTGGTTTCCTTACCCATAGAGACCAAAAATGAAAAGCCCCATGGGTAGCCCCTTTCTGGCCACGTGTTCACACATGCAGCCAGACAAGACCCTGAGGGCTTGGGGCCTGACCAATGCTCAGGGTGCCCCTCCCTTCTCTCCGCAGAGGCCTGCAATACTGGCCTCCTGGGCCTCACATGTGGGCCCAGGGCTGCCTCTGCCTATATCAAGGGGAGTGGGACTGTTTAGTCTGCTGGGCACATTCCTGGATTTGTAAAATAAATAGCAGATTATGAACGACTTAGCCTGATGCTGTCATTGGGCCAGGCCACAGGCTTCTGAGCTGTCCCTTAGGAGGGAGCAGCAGGAATGGACGGTTGGAGGTGTTTGACTTGGGAACTCTGTCCCAGCCATAGTTTAAGTGGAGAGGCTTCTAGCCTTCTCTGGGATTCCAGAGAACTTCTAATAATAAGACTGATAACAGCAATGATGATAATAATCATACCGCACACTGAAGGCACTGTGTGTCAGACACAACGGTTACCATTACTCGGCCTAAGATGAAGAAACTGAGGTTTAGTGGTGTGAGATCTCAAAGCTGAATGTCTAGCAAGTGGCTATGGGTTAAATGGAGATCAGTCTGATTCTCAGGCTCCAGGTCTTAACCACTACACTATATTGCCTCCCCAGGCTCTGAAATAGAGAGCTGCAGCCCATGCCCCCACCCACCCTAACACACACACACACGCACACACACACACACGTGCGCGTGCGCGCCCCCATCACCAGCCTTTCTGCTGTTCCCAAGGCCCTTTCCAGCCTGCACGGAGCCATTCTCCACCGTGACTCCCTTTTTCCATTTCACCCTTCGCTGGATCATTTTATGCCTCTATTCCCTCTGCTAATTCAAACTAATTAAAGTATAAAATAGAATAATTGCTTCCATCCCCATACTCTTTCCCATCCACGCTGAAGACAGAGTTATATTCTTTATCTGGGAGTGGCCAACCTGACAAGTTGGGTGGAAACTGGGGCTATCAAGTTTCTTTTCATCTTCTCGCTCCGTTTTGCACTTGGCTCATTGCCTGATTTTCCCTGGACTTGCTGACTGACTTCCATTAGACACTGAGGATACGGGAGAACTTGTATTCACACCCACAGCATCTGTCGATCTGCTGTTGAGGAAGCCGGGGCGGACTTTCTAGGGAAGAACCAGGCATCCTATCCATGGGGCACCTGGGCAATTAGCAGGATTGGGAAATCAGTTCCCAAATGTTCCCCTGGGACTGGCTGGCCCTGGATCTATTAACAGTCCATTAACATTGGCTTGTTAGGCAGTGGCACTAGCAACCCAACACTTCTTACTAGTCCTATTTCTTAATTATGTGTAATTAACTGAGAGAGGGGGAGGGAGTGAGAATGAATGAGCTATACGGGATCGTTGGAGCTCTGTAAGGGGATGCAAACCTCTCCAGGCAGAACTTGAGGCCGGAGACTTGGATCTACACTCCCATGGTGCCAAAGAAACAACAGGTGCCATGTTTTGGGGAAGCATCAGGGGGACAGAGAGACAAGAGGTGGGGATGAGATGAGGGCTGGGATGACAGCAGGCTGCTCAGAGATTTATTAGAAAGTGAGGGGAAGCCCCATTCCCATGATGTCTTGTAAGGTCTCAGGTCTTTCAGGAACCTCTGAAGTCTTAAATCACTGCCTCAAAACAGGAATACACTTATCCTTAACCAGCCAGCATTTTCCCTCTTTCTGCAGTGGTCACCGTTCAGGGAAGATGTTCACATGGGCACCCATGGCCTCATACAACTCTTGTTCCAAAAGTTCTTCATTTGGTCTAACCTCAGGCCTGTCTACTGTAGTTTTAGTGTTGTCTTCTGGACATGGAGAAGAGTCTCAATACCAACACCTTAGACAAGCCTCTTTAATATGAAAGGGAGTGTAGCGTTAGATTTGTTAACTGTATCTCTAAAAGGGAGGAAACTGAATGTCTGAGAACTTAAGAGTGTAAGCCATCCAGCTCGTTAGAGGTGGGCCGGGACTAGAACACAGACCCCCGGGCTCAGTCTAAGGCCTACTGGATGTGCCCCACAGCCACTTTACTTCCCCTTAATCATCACTCATGGTTACCACCCTCCTGAGCTGGAATCATAAAAGCCTGAGAGCTGGAAGGGGCCATACAGAAGCTCAATGATCAAGGGTTTGTGTGGCATGTGAGGCCGTGGGAAAGAACCTCCCCTCTGCTGAATGGAGTCTCACGTTGACCCGAGTGAGGCACAGTGAGGCCAAGTGACTGATCTAACGCCATGTGGCTATGAAATGTTGAGATGAGATCCAAAGCAGAGCTTCGGACTTCAGAGACAATCCTATTATCTGAAGCAACTATTTCATGACCTGGGAGAGGTCATGCTTCCAGATCCAGCAACAGCTGGACTAGAACCCAAGCCATCCAACTCCATCTTCATCACCACCCACTAAATTGTTTCTTGAAAGATGTCTGAGCTGTCTGTGAATATTCTGTACTCAGAGTTGCTCGGCCTCAGACAGATGGGCCCACTGAGCTGTTCTTGGCCCTCATCCCTGGGCCCAGCCCCAGGTGAAATCACCTAACTACCTATTTCTACACGATTTACAGCTCTCAGGGTGACAGGTCTCAGAGCTCTGCCACAAATCCCCCGTAGACTCTGCCCACTGATCACAGCTCCACCTGGCATAGGGGGCTCTCTGGACTGATATCTCACCTGACTGGAGACAGCCCCATGGCATTAACCCCAAATTCTTGCCATGTCTGCTCAGTGGGACTGGCTACTACTGAAGCCCTCCGTTTGGCGCAGATTGTAACAAGAATGGCACAGCTGTGGCAGAAGATGAGGACAAAGGCCAGGAGATTTAGAAATAAGCTATGTGGACACTTGGTAGAGCCAGGACTGATGCTCTCACAGGTGACACCGGATATGATCTCAGGAGGTCAGCCCAGTCCCTGAAGGCCACTCACTAGTCTCAGGCTCTGACTCAGGCCCTTCTCCTCTGGCCATATTTCGAATGTAATTTCACAAAGCATCCCATTTGAGAAACAGCCAAAATCTGAGCCTTGGCATATTCTCAGTTCCATTAAGGCCTCACTGATCACTTCTATTTGCTGTCAGTGCTTTTCCACCACACCGGGCTCAGAGAACCCAAGAAAGAGTTTTTACCCAGTTACCTGCCTGGTCCTCAGCCATACATAATGTGTTCTGAAAATATCACATATATTGGGGGTCTGTTGGATCCCTCTGACCATCATTTTATCCACCTATCTGGACTGCCATCTATCCGTCCATCCCCCTGTCTGATTATTATCCTGCAGAAGCATCTAGAATGGTGTTCACCAAATGTTAACATGGTGTTACATTTTGGGCAGACCCGTCTGGGGACTCACTGCTATTTTCTTTTCTGTGTGTATTGCTGGAATTTGCATGGTAAGCATCTACTATTTCTGTTTAAGAAATAACCTTATGTCTATAAATAGGAAAAGGAAGAAAAGGCAGAATATTTATAGGCTTCAGTGGGATGTTACAGGTAACTGGCTATTTGTCTCCCTCCCTTGTTAGACTGTAAGCAACTTGAGGGTAGTGGCCAAGTCCCATTCATTTTAAAGTTTTCCCAGCACACTATTCCCGAAAACTATATTCCCAGTAATGGGCTTTGTTAGGGCCCACGGACTGTTTTATTAGAACGAGACATCACTGTTTATTTCCAACTGTCTTGCCCACCGTAGGTTAGGCTAAGCCTCCTCCAGCTCCGCCAAATTCCCATCTGCACCTGTTTATGCCTCACCTGCAGGGGCCATATGAAAGAAGGTAAAAAGACAGGTGGGTTCAAGGGGGTCTGGATATAATTTGCATGCAATCTGCATATGATTTGTGTCATCTGTTCTCAAGAAGTAATTTTTGAGTTAGAGCTGCATCACTGCTTCCCTGAACGCTCTCATGTGCCCATTTGTCTCTTCGTTTCGCCCTCCATTCTTCCCTCATCCCCGGATTCAGAATTCTTACATTCAAAAAAAATGAGGGAAAGAGAACTCTGAGCAAGGTGGTGTTCAAGTACACCAGGAATCTTTGCGGAATATTTTGGGAATGACAAACACTCAAGAGCTGGGAGGCACCTCGTGAACGCTCACTGGTCTCCTAGCCCAGCATCTTTGTCTAGCCTAGGGTCTAGCCTAGGTCTTGGTCAATGCCAAGACCATGCTCCTGGTGAACAACAGGAGACTCACTGACTGAACGAATGGAAGGAACCAGCCTTTCTTAAGGTCTTTGCTTTGCTTTTTGCATCCCCATTAATTTGTGAATCCTCCATTTTCCCTGCTTCTCTTGCCCATCACCAGGGCTCTCCTGCATCTACCTTCTGTTTGCTCACATATATTCAGAGCAAATAAACTCCAGGGGGAATAATGCTCCATCAGAGAAGGTGGGGAACCTGCTCAATGGTTACCCCGCAGAGGGTAGAAGTCTATTTCTCAGGCCAACTTTGGCTTCCTGGAGCTGGCCAGCTTCTTCTGACATCAGTCTATGACTCAGACCAAGATTTTTTATCTCCTTCTGGGGCCCTATCTTGGGTCTCTCTCTCCCAGGATCAGGCCCAGCCAGGAGGCCTGGATTATTTACACTTCTCTGGCTCCCTGGAGCAGCAGACTCTGTGGGCCCGGGAGCTGTAAATCTACCTCCTAATCACACCAAGCTGCTCCATGCAGTCTGGCCTGTTCTTGCGGGGCTGTTCATCATGCACTGAGACAGGGGCTGTGGCCTGGAGAGAAGCTCCGGGAAGTGGCTGGCCCCAGTTTTTTCTCTCTGGCTCCCTGCAAAAGCCTCCAAGGACTCTGCCTCTCCCTGAACCCCTAAGCCACAAGCCCAGAGGTCTCTCTTGTTCGAAGAACAGTTTCTGAACCAAGGTCACAGGTTATCAGTTACTCCTGGGCTTTGAAAAGAAGGGATGGGTGTCAGCACTTACCTGTCTCTCAGACATGATGTACAGGTAACGCTCATCAATGGAGAAGGCCATGTCCCGGAGGATGGGGCTCCCATCTTTGAGCACAGAGACCATCTCGTACTGGACCCCTCCATGGGGGGGACCATCGGCTCGAATCTGAGAAAGAAACAAGGCACCCTCAGCATCTGTACTCAGCAGTCCCCTGCTTCGGCCTAGAGCAGGTCACTTTCCTGAAGTGCTTGTATTTCCCGAAGATAATTCTCCCCACCCTACCCCCAGTTACTACTCTGAACCAAACTAGCCTTCATGGAAGGTAGAAGTGCTTTTCAGTTCAAACAGTGGGCTGTTTGTTTCCACCAAGAGAGATCCTTTCCCAAGTGGTCTGAGTGTGCCAAGTCTGGGATTTCTGATGGTGGGTTCATTTGTGTGTGCATATGTGCCCTTAGGGGCAATTCTGAATATCCCAATGTGGTTATTGTTGCGTGTGTCTACATATATTTACAGCACTGTGTGGAGGGTGTGTGTGTGTGTGAGTGTGTGCTTGTGCACACTTCCTGGCGTTTGGGGTAGGAGAGTCAACATCTGCTCACAGTGTTTCTGTCTCAGGAGGGTAAGGAAGAATGGGTAAACAATCATATAAACTATTAAAAAGCTGGTCATCAAGAGATTCAAGATTTTAGAATCTCAGGAAGGTCTTTCTGCCCCCCAAACATATCCCCTATATGTGTGCAAATTCACCCTGGGATTCTGGGGAGCCAGGAATCCTGGATCAGACTCTTAGAGCCCAGCTCCGGATAATAAGTCAGAAAGAAAGGACTCAGACACCATCAAGTTCACTGCTCCTCAGCCCTGGCTGCACATCAGAATCGTCTGGGGAGTTTTAAAAGATAAAAATGCCAGGGCTGAATCCATTAATCAGAATCTCTGTGGGTGTGGCCTGGGCATCTTCTTGGGGATTCAAAGCTCCCCAGGTGAATCTGATGAGTGGCCAGGGTCTAGAAGCAGCGATGGAGTCCAGTGGTTTTCAAGGCTGCATGCCTTGAGAATCAGCTCTGGGGGTTGGGAAAACACATTGCTGAGCCTGCCCCTGGAGTTTCTGATTCAGGGGAAATGAGGCTTGAGAATTCTCACTTCTAACAAATTCCCGGGTGATGTGGAGGCTGCTGGCCTGTGGACTCGAGAGGGCTAGTCTGAGCTCTGTATAGACTCAGTGGAAGACGGTCCCTGAGGTCATACAAAAAGCTAGTGTCCGGGAGTCTTGGGTTTGAATATGCTCCCGCCTTCGACAGGTGACCAATAATCCCCACCCTGGCTTGTTTTCTCTGTTCTCTGCCCATCTACACCCCCTCGAGCTCGAGCCCTATTTCCTCCATGAAGCCTTCCCTAATCTCTCCACCACACTAATTGCTCATCACCCTGATGCCTTTTTTTTTTTGTCTATCAGACATTTTGTCTTAGGGTTATAATCAATTGATCTGTCCATTGTGTGTGTACTAGCTACCATGTATTGACTACCCACTCACATTGTTCTCTAACTGCCTCACATGTGCGTAAGTCTGTCAACACTGAAGGCAAGGATGTGTTTTCTATTTCTCTAATAACCCTCTGAGGACTCGAATGGGGTCGGGAACCTGGCTGGTGATGGATAAAACGGGATGCTTGAGAAATACTTGTTGAAAAGGACATGAACTATGAACCTGCTGATAAAGTCTCGTGAACTCTAGCACTAAATCAAAGTGAGATTCAAAGGCATTTTCTCTGGAGGCTTGTAGGATTCAGGTTGCCCCCTCCCCACTCACATTCCCTTTCATTTTTTCTTGTACTTCTAACCATGTCTTTCCCTCTGCCCATTGCTCCCACCACACCAGGAGGTCCTGAGGGCAAGGACCATGCCTTATTCATCCCAGGGCCGCGCTCGGTGCCTGATGCCACAGTAAATTCCCCTTTGCCCTTCTTCTGCCCAGCTAGTGGCTTCCTGCATTCAAAGCTATTGCATCCAGGGGAGGGGCTTGGGGGTTCATTTAATTCATTCTCAGAGAGTGGAGGAAGACTCTGGGGTCAGCAAGGATGTCGTGAGGCTGAGGTTACTTGTCCTCTACCCCAGTGCAAATATGGTTGTGGATTCAAGCAGAGGGAAGGGTCTCTACCTGGGAAAATAACTCACAATTAAAAAGGTTCCCCTTAACATTTGAAGCAGCATTGTCTCTTAGATGGACAGATCTGAAATTTCCTGGGGATCCTTCCAGAAATATAGTAGTTTTAGTCAATAAAGTTCTTGGGCTATTGCAGAAAGTAAAGAGAAGATGTGATAGTCTTGGCTTCTGGCTGGCTTGACCTCAGTTTTCTGTCTCCATTATATGGGGGAGTTCAGGCTCTATTTCTTCCTTTGAAGGGGAACTGGTCCAGGGCTTCTCATCACCCTCCCCATAATGCCTGCTTCTCTTCAGGGAGATTTAAGTCTCCTCAAGGTACTGGCTCCGCCCAGGAGCTGTGGAACCAGTACCCTCCCTCAGGCCCGACCCAAGATCTCCCTGCCCCAAGAGGCTAGTTAACCTTCTACCAGCTGGGGCGGCCTCCTCCCCATGAGCCTGGGCACCTGCCTGCCTCCCTGGCAGGGCCTGGACACAAAGTTAGAAGGAGGAACTCCACAAGCCTGGCCTTCCCTCTGTGGTCCCTGGGACGAGATGGTACCCACGGCCGGCTTGGAGCTGGAATTGAATCAAAGTCAACTTATCATCACACTCTCTGCTGCATCCCACTTAGGACCAATCCCAGCCATTAACTTTTTCCTGAATCAGAGATCTACGCAGGTTTTTTTCTTTTTCTTTTCCCATCTGCAACCCCAATCTTTTAACAAAGCAATTGAAGCCAGAATCAAACCTACCTACCTTTCAAACGTCAAAGCTAAAACCAAACCAGAACAGAAACTGTTCTTGGTACTGAACCTGAACTAGGCGATCCTATTTCATTCAGTCCAAATCCCTGGAGGGAAGAGCACTATTGCCCCCCCCCACTTACTTCCTCATCCCATACTATCTGCCTCCAGCTTGTGTAACCCTCAGAGACACCTGCGGGAGGGCAGAGAAGATGGAGGATGGGGCAGGAGGCCAGGGGTTCAAAGAGCACGGGGCGGGGGGTGGGGGCTGGCAGGCAGGCGGCAGGAGGGGCCAGGTGGGTGGCAGATAGCAGAGCTCTTTCCCCTCCCTGACACCTTGTGCTCCCTCTGAGCATGCACCGCAGTGGGCAGAGTGTAGGTCTGGGGCACAAGGTTCCTGGGTTTCTGTTCGGACTCTGTGCCTGGGCTTGAGTTCTGCCTAATGGTACAGTTTGCATTCAGATCCCTCCCCTGAGCCTCAGTTTTCCCTTCTGGATAACAGGCCAAGGCGATCTGCTCGGTGCCGGCCACAGGAGAACCACAGCAGCAAGTACTAGAGCTGTAAGGGCTTGGGAGCTCACCTCACCTAAGCTCTTGCCATTCCAGGCTCGCGGCTGGCCAGTGGTGGAACCGGGGCTCAGAGGAGAGCTTGTGTCCCCAGGGCCAGGTTTCAGTGACCCCAAGGATAACAACGGACTGAAGTAGATCACGAACCTGTCCAAGAGAAGGGTGTCAGCAGCCCAAGCTGCACAGGGCAGGGGAGGAGCTGGGGCAGAGGAGGGAAGTGACACACACGGGGACACGCGAGTCACCTGCACATGTCTTTCTGGTTGGGCTCCTCCTCTCCTGAGAGGACCTGGCCCCAGTAGGCACACAACAGCTATGGAGGCCATTTTGCTTGGACAAAGCTCACAAGGTAGAACAAGAGGGCCAGTCTGCTGCAGTGGAGGGTGACAGTCTTTACTGAAACCCACAAAAGACAGAAGGTGCCCACACTGTCTCGCAAGGAGATTCAGGCTGGTTCTAGTGAGAATTCCTGTTGCGTAGAGCCCTGACTGCAGGATGAGCGGCCGCAGGACCCTGCAACCTTCTCAGGAGGGTTTGGAACACAGGATAACTTCTTTTGCTTCATGGCTCAGCGTGGCCCTACCTGAAGGCGGGAGCACAGACCTGGTGAATTTTTGAAGGGTCCCATTTGCCTCAAGAACTTAATAACAGCTACTGAGCTATTGCTCTTACGACGTGCAAAGTGCTGTCGAAAGTACTTAACAAAAATCAACTCTCTTATCCTTACAAGAACCCCTGACGTAAATGTTCTTATTATTCCCATTTTACAGATAGGAAATTTGAGGCCTGGGAGAGTTAGGTGGCGTTCCCAAGATCACACAGCTAAAGGGCAGCAGGGCTGGGATTCCCACACACAGCCCGATTTCTCAGGCGCTCTGTGACTCTCTTAGGAGAGGATAATAACGGGCAAATGGAGCTGTTCATCGCCGCCAGGAACAGAACAGGCACAACAGACCGAAAGACCGAAAGTCCGAGTTCTCTCTTCCGACCCTTCCTCTTTTGGACCCCAAGGCCCAGGCGGGGCAATCATCCATTTCTTGGAGTCAACAATAAACTCAGAACCTAATTTTGAAGGACCTTGGTTAGGGGCAAAAACTCAGTTTACCAGGGCTGTCTGTGGGGTAGGAGGATGTGAGGTGCAGTCCAGGGGAGAGTGACCGCCAGGCCCTCCACGTGGGAGGGGCCTCTGCTAACAGAGAAGGAAATAGTAATCCCATTAGGGCTTCCCTTTAAACCACAGCTAGGCCTGTGCAGAAATTAATGACAGCCTCTTTACTTGAACATCCAATTCAAATCAGCGTATCCAATTCCAATTAACTAGCTTACCTGTAGGCTCCTCCAAACCCTTTTTCTTGTGCCTCACTTTCTTCTATAGTTAGCTCTAAATTATGGAGCCCCTGCTTGGGATTTGTCACTCTAATATCACTTTATTAGTAGTACTAGTAGTACAAGTAGTAATAGTATTTATTTATTTATTTGGCAAGAGCTGCTGAAAAGCAATTGGGAATCTTTTTCTTCTTGGGCCTCTCAGTAGGAAACAGATTGGTTTGAGAGGCATCACCATGCCGAGGGAGGCAGCGGTTCATGTCTTTAGGCCTGGGATCTAATCCCAGCATTCTCATTAATTGGCTATGTGACTTCAGGCAAGTCACTTCCCTTGTTTGTGTAATAGTTTCTGTAGCTGCCAAATAAGGTGGGAACTCCTGTCCTTATG